TTGTTCTGGATACATTAATTTGTCATTCAATTACATGTAATCTTATTCCTCCTTTTACAATCGGCCCCAAATGAAGTTAACTTTTTTGTTTGGGGAACTTGAGAATAAAAATTAAAGCAATACAAATTTATGTCATTTATAACATAAATTTATGATTTGGACTTTGTGGTTAATTATATCCATGCCTTTTAAGCCATATTTTTAAAAAAGGAACGGAACTCAAAATAGTCTGGCACTATACCCCCCAGTAACAGACTACAGTGAGTAAGTTATGATCAGAGCTGTGCACAAGTTTGTACACAATCTGCTCCTATGCATGGCCTTGTAAAGTCCAGGTTGGAGGCTGTAAGTCAGGAAAACTTGTCTATTTGGTTAATATTATTCTGTCATTCTAAATGTTCAGGAGTCTCGGGCTCATCGGGAGAGCTCTGGATAAAGATGTGCCACTTCAGCTTGAGCACCCTGCGCGGTTTGGGTGTCGGTAAATCGATCTTCGAAGAACAGATCGGAACAGAGGCAGAGGAGTTGATTCAAGCAATGGCAGCCTTCAACGGCAAACCTTTCAACCCGAAGCCCCATCTGGCCGGCGCAGTGTCCAACGTCATCTGCTCCGTCACCTTCGGTCAGCGCTACCAGTACGATGGCCAAGACTTCCAACGACTCCTAGCCTTGGAGAGCAGCCTCGTCTTAAACTTGGGAATAGGCGCGGGTTCTTCTTTTTTCGGCCATGTGGGTGCTAGGCTACCGTTCCTGAGATCCGAGCTCCAACGACTGGAAACCGATCACAATCAAATCCTGGGGTGATATTTATGATACAGATGTACAATCTATAACACGTATTACTTTTTTGCAGAATTTTACATGAGAACGGCATATTTGGCTTTTAAAAATATTTTTGACTACTGTTGAACAAATTTTGGTCTTTCGGAAGTTTGTGATATTCATAACAATCCGCCTGGGCAAAAGAGGGGGGGGTATATACCCCCACCACCCAAGAATTTAAGCCCATGGCTCCGTGAATCTGATATTGAACACGTTAAATTATATTGGATATCGTCATCTTTTGTCCACTCCTGCCTACGTACTGCTGGTGGTATTCCGGTTAATTCACTAGTAACGTATCAAGGTTTGGAGTTGTGAGTTTTATGAAACTTGGTTGTGAGAGATTTGGGTGTCTTATAGGATTATTGTAGACCACTTTAATTTTGCCAATTTGTATGGGCGGCCAAGGTTTGCATTTGCAAAGTTGATTTAACCTCAAATTGTTCAAAATTTGTCCCATTGGTATTTTGTAGTACATGTATTATTATCTGGTGTTCTTAAAGCAGCGTATATTGTTTTAATTTTGTACCGACTGCCGCCCTTAGTTTTAGCAGCTACTTGTAAGAAAAGCACAAATGTGACGTCAAAAAAACAGACCTATAGCAGTGAAATTGTCGGCTCGCATGGTTGTTTTTCTCCCAGAACAATGATATATACCGAATATTTGACCGTTTAAAATAAACAAAAGTTGTGAAGACGAAGATTACAAGGCTATAATAAGCTGTGCAAACTTCTATGTACTTACTTAAAGGATAAATTTAATTGACCTCAAACTTCAAAAGTGTAATTGTATAAGGAGTACCTCTATACATCTATCAAGTTTTTGAAAATTGAGCATGGTACAGCCGAGTTCAAAGGGGGACGGCGGAGTCCACCTCAACCCAGCTTAAGAGTGGCCAAAATAACCCGGCTCTTTAAAAAAAAAAATTAGTGAACTAGTTTTGTGTAAAACCGATCCCTGGATGTGGCTTGCTTACCAGTTCATATGACTACGGGAAATGAGTGGTACGAGAAGATAAGGGTTAAAATGCCTTTTGGACAAGATGAAAGTCTAGAAGAGCCAAAAATAACCATTGGCGACCGTGTGATCTGCTTTTCAAATGTTGTAGCTGCTTTTATGGAAATCGACCGTATTAATTTAAATTTACCGGTGATCGTTTTCGAATCATCATTTTTCTGCAAACTGTATAGAATGTTTTGTAGTTCGAATAAATCAAATGAAAATTGCGAGTTTTACGCTTTTTAGTTGAACTGAATTTTATTTCCTGTGTTTTAAAGTTTGCCTAAACTTCAAGTTTTATTGATCAGTCGCTGTTTGGCGGCGCAGCCGTTGTAAACCCTCAGACAGTTGATAATTTATGTCAATTCGGAGATCTTGCTATTATAAATTGACTAATGCACTGGCCAGTGATTGGTGTTTGTTTCTGAAGACTGGTTGGGGCCACTCATAATTCTTAATTAATACCCCTGAATCTGTGCAGTTGTGTGGTGCGCTATGTCCGACACGCATTTCTGCCTCTCTCTAACCTCTTCCAAGGCAACGCAACAACACGACGCGACGACTCCCTTGCGTCGTGCCGTCGCGTCGGACCGTCGCGTTTTTGTCGGTACATTTGTACACAAAGGACACATCGTGTCGTGTAACATCTTGCCGTCGCATCGTGTAGTTGCGTTACTTAGAAGCAAAAATGTGTGTCGTAAATAGTACACCATAGTAAATAGTACATCTTGCAGCGATACAGAAAGAGCGCCCTCTACTGGTCCTAGCATATTGACAACGTCAACAGATCGACGACCCCATTGAACTGCGCACCATAGCAACGGCGTCGCGACTTTATTGTTATGCGCCAACAATAACACCGAACAAATACCAGTGCAAACAAAAATCACCAACCCCATTGAGTGTGGGACTTTGTAGTTATTTTCACAGGCAGGACCGGTCTATTGTTGAGCTCTGTTGGGCGCCGGTAAATCGATCTGCCAGGGAAATTTTGGAGAGTTGGATGAACGCAGGTTGATGAGTTCAACAGGTGGTTGGGCGCAACTCTGCCTTTGATGAAATTGGACGGTAGCGCAGACGAAATGGTGTATCAGTTAAGACCCGTTGATTCGACAAGTGATAAAGTTCATATACTCGACAGCAGATTGGCTTCAAAGAAACACTTTTATTGCCTGCAGTGCAGATTGAGAAGGGAGGGGTATATCCGGAAATTTACAGGGACAAAATCGACTTGAGATTGATGAACACGTCCAGGATTAAGAAGTGATCAACTCTGTTGAAACGGGGTGGCAACAGGTGTGACTTGAAGCGCTCACTGTTCAAACGAGATGGATGATGTTAAAATTACAGTATATGTTACGTGAGCGAGACTCAGTGAACTTTTCTCGTGGAAACCTCAACTCCCGTGCGTGGTCAGGTTTGGTGCGAGAAAGATTCGTGAAAAACATTAAATTAAAAAAAACTCATCATTTGCTTGCAGACTCTGATACACATGTGCATGTACATCGAAGATTTGGCTAGTATACATCGATTGATGATGATATGGTCATGCGAATGCTGTAATGAATTAAGTACATGGAATAATTCATGTGTCCCATTGTGTCTGCAACTATCATGCTGGCGATTCACAACATGCAATGACGATGTGGAGGAAATTAACATTGTGCTACGGTGGAGGTGTTTGCAGCTCGTTGGCACTGGGACGCAGACGTGGAGCTTCCGCTAGACATTGCTCTCGCTGCATGTGAATAGTCTGACTGTCGTCGCGTCGGTAGGAGCAGCACCGAAAGCACATCCATCACCACCGTTGTCATCAACCATTCATTAGTGAGTTCTATTATAGAGCCACTGGTTCTGTTTATAGTATCCAGCATTCCACTTGAGTCTGTGCAAAGATCGTGGTCTCCAACATCAAGGAAAATTTAACTGAAAATCAGCACTGGTGATCCCATGAGTCTCATTTACAAGTGATTAATGGTTCTCCATAAGATTAGGTTTGGACTTTGTTTTCTGTTCTTTATCGCAAGAGATCGCAAGTAGGATTTATAAGAATCTCTGGAGCGGACATTGCAACTGAAGAGAGTTCTATCCTTTAAATTGTATTACACTGCTTATACTGTAGTGTCTAGGTGACACTATAGTAATCATCGGTGAACAAACTGTTGTCAGTTTCACAAAATGTTTCATCTGAAGTAATTCAAAATCAATACATTCTAATGGTCAAGTTTTCGTTAATGAGCAGTGATACTGGTACTAACATATAAAGCAGTTGGGGGTTATTTTGGTTCGGTTGCATTTGCATTAGTTTGTTGAATTTCACGGTCTGAGAGAAAATGGCGGCCGAGGACAGCATGCTGTCGGCACCACTGGTCCTGCCGAAGCAACCCCAGCCGTTTGCTGTGATCAGCGAGCAGTGGCAAGATCGACTCCAGCTCAGCTCCCCTCGACCGGAGACGAGTGGAGACTCCGCGGAAGGGGACATTTACAGCTTCGGCGACGTCTACGAGGAGAACCTCTACAAACTCATCCACAAGCACCTGGAATTGGACACCCACGACCGGCTGGCCTACGTAGGTGCTAGCAAAGGTAGCCTTGCCGAGAAAATCCGGGACAGGTTCTGCCTCCTTCAGCCCATGGTCAACATCTTCCCTGGCTTGATCCACTACGAGGAGACCCCGAACCAGCGAATGCTGCCTTTCAAGATTTGTCATGTGGGCGCAGAGGAGTACTTCCGTCAGCTGTCGGAAGACCTGGTGAGTGATCACAAGGAGCAGCCATTCGATAAGATCATCTTAAAGGATTCCGTGCAACACCTAACCAGCCTGGCCGAGACCTTCTCGCATATCATGAGAACCCTGAGCCCAAATGGGAAGGTCCTGATCATCCACCGGCCGGGACCCATGAGCACCCTGCCCGTCTTCAGCGAGGCCTCCCGGCGGTTCATCGAGAATGACTTAGACGAGCCCTACATCAAGATCATTCGGAGCCTGCAAGAGATCAAGGTAGACGCCAAGTGGGAGATCGAGACCCTGCCAATCGTCATGTCAAAGGTCAAGTGGCTGGCTATGCTCCAGGAGAAGTTCCCGCCGCAGATGGAGATTATTAGCAACTACCAGGTGCAGACGGGCATCCGGGAACTCACGGAGGGGATGTTCAAATACCAGGGAGAGGAGGTTGAGTTCTTCGACCGACTGCTGTTCATCACGGCGTCACACCGCATGAAGGACAGCGAGTTTCCCAGCATCCAGCGACATGGAGCAGCCGCCGGAAAACCGTACCCAGGCCTCATGGACATGAAGTACACGTTACAAGTAACCGGTGATATTTATGGTCACGTGCAAAAGAGAGTGGAGGAAGAAGACAAAAACAAGAAGATTTTGTTTTAGTGAGAAAAATTCATAAAATACATTTTTTGTGTGTGTTGTCGCACCGATGGCCAACTATTCTCCATGTACAATACGTTAAATAAGGAAACAATGGACTTGCTAAATTACAATTTATGTGGACAGCGCCAAATTGCTTTTGCATTCTGTAAATTTGATCGATGGTAAAATTGCAAAGTTGTACTTAATTTGTTCTCACTGTTGCACTTCATTTCTCTTTAATTTTATACTAATAATTTTACCGTGACTGTGAGATGGAATTTCATTCCTTTTTAGTGTTTTGCGGTAAGGTTAGCATTCTCGAAAAAAATCAGAGATTTAAAATCTTAAGTTAACCCTTTGCTTTTTTGAAATTTCAACAAGAAAAAACAGAAAATTAAAATTGCTTGCATTGGCCCAAATGTCAAACTTTCTGGGAAGTTATTCCCTCTGCTCTCTACTGAAGTGTAGCGGCCGGTAAATTGCGGCGTCAAATCTTTTCCCTTGAATGGCAATTTGTGACTGTTAACAAGATTTTAGACAAGAAAATTATCCTCTGTCAGTCATGGAACCCGGTTTGTAAAAGACGCCTTCCTTCCTCTATGCGTTAAACTGCACATGCATTAAAAATAATACTTACACTTGTACCAAACGTCACAAATTAGGTTAGGCTTTTGTACCATGTACAAGGAAGAATCTCAATAATGAGTGTGTGGTTCTGACAAGAACCGATGGCGAACCATTCCTTGTACGTGGTGCAACCGCAAGACTATCCTAATTTAGTACTTCCACAATGCATAGCTTCAAGTCCAAACGTCACAAGTATGATACTAGCTGGCAGCTCTTCCATGATAGCATTATTGGAGTTGATTCATGAAGCACGATTAACCCCTGGCAATTTTTACCGAATTTGTGAAAAATTAAATTGGAATGACTCTACAAGATATGCCTTTCGGTCCCTAAAACACATTCCCATCATTTTTTTCTTATAAATGCAAGGTGGATATCCCGTCAAGAATTAAAGTTTTCTTTTAAAGGAATTTCCCCCAAATCCAACAGAAGTGAAGCATGTCCGATGCCCAATCTTCAATTGATTCACAGCTTTTATTTGAAATCACTAGTTCATTAAATAGCCGTTATTCATAAATAAACTGTTGTCAAAATATACTCATAAATAATTGATTGAATCATCATCATTTTGTATTATCAAAATTATCTAAATTGCAACACTTTTCTAAAATAAAAAAAATAAAGAAACGAAAGCTACAAATGAGAACCAGTTATGAAGTTAAACAGGCAACTGCAGTTGTTATCACTGGTATCTCATTTTCAATCAAATTTTTTCCATTTTTTTGCATTTTCACGCTTAGAATCCCTACGAAATATGACTCAAGGAAGTCTTGTCATAATTCATTTTGAAATTCAGCACAGCGGTGTTTGCACAGAGCATCTTTTTCATTATTCAGTTTCTCTTTTTACAACTAGACCTCTCTTCCGTTTAGATGACGACGAGTTTACTACTGACCTACAAAATTCTTCTTTGAAACTTTTTGGTATGTACCCTGTAGCTAGACTATGACCAAATAAATGTCATTATTTTGCTGCCAGAATCCAGACAGAAAACAGGGAAAGTTAATGCAGTTTCATGGTCCAAATCAAAACATACGCCTTGATAAATGTTTTGCTTATGTATCTTCTAGTCATAATTCCTACTATTGCTCGACTTCTAACGGTATTTGACCAAAACTACGGTAAATATTTGAGAAAAAGTATAGTTTGGTCCAGTATCTTTCTCTGTGTAGTTCTACCCGTTTCTTTACCATAAAAATACTGGTACTGTATTTTTCTATGAAGGTTATCCAGCTTCTGCATGTACCTGAATCAGAAGTAAAAGCGGCTGAATGAAAACTAAAAGCTTCTGTAAAAGTCCACAGTCTCTGATTGGCTGTTTCCTTGGTAGCACCTAACTACTGGCCAATTAGGGAGGCCGAGCAAAACTGCATAGATGCTAAACATCTAATTAACTCCACAACCAATTGGCATAGTCTCTCAAGCTGCCCATAATGGCTCATATAATTGGCTGAATGGTTGAGGTCACCTCACTCTTGACAAATTAAGCGGGTCGGATATAATGTTTTCATGGATGTCAATGAACAGGGGGATGTACGTCAGAAAATCAAGAAAGTCCACAGTTCCTTTGCCCTCGCGGTTGAATTTCTCTACAACCTGTGACAAATAAAACAAAAAATACAAACACGGACATAATAGAAAGCAATTCAAAGTGGTCGAGAAATAAGGTCAAAGAGTCAACTTTTTGATAAGCTTGCACTCGGGAAATGTTTTACTTACCAGTTTGACATGCTCTGGTTTGAGTCCACCAGCTTCCAACTCCACAACAAGATTCTGGATGGGCACTTCACCTCCATCTGCCTCATCATCTTCATCCGCTAAGAGGAAAAATAGTTCCTGCAACCACAATAAAACAGTTACGAGAAAGGATCAAACATGCAATGAATTAATGAGCAAGCTTTAAATTGACAGAATCATGTTGACTGAGGTTTGAATGAATTTAGAAGGATGAAAGCTTATTTGGCAAAAAATCCCATCACAATATTTTGCTGTTAGTGGAGTGGCTTCAGGCTGTCAACCTTACGTTTAAACTGAACCCTGCCTAAAATGGGGAATGGAGTTTCCAAGAGTATCAATCCAACCCCCTACAGGTGAGCTTTTCTTAATACCACGTTTAAATATCACCTGGCTTCTGAGTTCCAGAGCTACCATGCATGTTACATGAACATCCGGTTTCTAAGTAACACAAAAAATTCTGCCAATCTTGATCGCACTGTCCTGTGTTCATTTCCTCATGAGGCTTCACTGTGAATATTTAAGGGATCATGCACCTTGGCTTGCTGCATTTTCACTTCCAAGGCCTCAAAGTTCATCTTATTGATTAACTTCCGTATGAATGGTCTGCAAACGAAAGAAAAGAAGAATATTCAACCAAACCCTTGAAACAAATTTCATCACTAAAACAGAATGAGTACCTTTATAATTATCATAGCTGCACTTTTGTAATGGAGTTTTTCATAAGCATTCATGAGCAATGAGGTGAAAAAGTAGTTCACAGGATTCTTACTCTAGTCTGGAGACTTTTTCAGACAATGCAGCCACCACAGAAAACAGCTTGAAGTCTATCCGGTGTCTCTGAGGCAAGTCTAACACCTGTTGAAATTACCAGAAGGATTTCCAGGTTATCATTTATATCGGGCAAGGCAGAATTCTGTCTTGGGTTACATTTGTTCTTCCAGCTACTTGTATTGCCATTAATCTTGTGTGTGTGCGTGTGTCAAATTTACTAAGAAAAGATATTCAAAGGATATTTCAAAGTCTCGGCCTAAATGCCTCCAAAGCATTTGTAATTAGTCTATGACAAACAGGACAGATACTGAATAGAATAAAAAAAATTCATTGCATATCAGAAATTTGCAATTGGCAATTTGAAATTTGAAAATTTTAATTGGAAAATTTAAAAAGTGAAACTTGAAATTAGACAGACAACTGGAATGTGTAAAATTGCTCATATTTCAAATTTCAACCTAATTTTTTTCAAATGCAGTCCATGCATTTCCTGAAAAAAATTTGAACCCAGACATAAATCCAAACTGTGGCCGAATCACGTCTATTAAAACATGTCTGTGCGAAATAAAATAAGTACTTTTAGTTTAAACATTAAATAACCTACGTGGTAAATGTACTGGCATTCTTTCTCCGTGATCAGATAACTGTTGACTTGTTTTAGAGTGGACTCCAGATCCTTCACGTCAACTTCAAAATTCTAAAAAAACATTCATGTCAGACCAACAAATATCAACCTCCCAACATAGCATCGAAAGCTTCCGTTTCAATTGAACAGACAGGAAGGGGTTATCAACTCAGCAAATTACAAAATAATATATGTGAAAACACAGCACACGATTATAGTCATCATTTGTTGATAAATAAATGGCGATAGGATCATTCTGCCTCCATAAAAACGACTTTCTGGTATTTCACACATGATCCTTTACATGTACTAAAACATTCCACAAACACTGAAACCCTTAACAAGTACTCACAAGCCTTTACAAGTACTCACAAGCCTTTACAAATACACATAAACCTTTACAAGTACTCACAAGAATTCACCAGTACTCACAGGCCTTTACAAGTACTCACAAGCCTTTGCAACTACTCACAAGCCTTCACAAGTACTCACAAGCCTTCACAAGTACTCACAACCTTTTACAGGTACTCAAAAGCCTTTACAAGTACTCAAAAGCCTTCAAAAGAATGCAAAAGTTCTCCAGCATAAAAAAACCTTCCTGTGTTGTCCACCTTAATGAAACCTTGGCTGGTTTTCCTACCTGTACTGGATTCATTTGCTGATACAATACGCTTTGCTTCCGTCGGAAGTCATCATTAGTGGCAGCTCGGCTAAGCAGGTCTTGCCTCTTTAAGACATTCTCCTGAAGTGATGCTCTTGTTTTCTCATCTGTGAGAGGAATAAAACATTTCCAATCTTTGAAAATGAGGATGAAGCATGTCTGTGGAGAATTTGTGTGACTTGGGATTGAAATTTTGGCACCTACATCATGAATCCAGTTGCTTTTCACTGGTTGTGTCCTTGTAAACAAGCTGCTTTACCCTAACTTGCCTCTCTCCACTCAGGAGGATAAATAGGTGCTGGCGTTCGCTGAGGTACAACCTGTGATGAATTAGCATGCCATCCAGGTGGGAACATGTTCTTAGTTGATTCCAAGCCAAAGACTCAGAAGACAAGGTGCCCCCCACAGAAAAAAAAACAAACGAATGAATGGATGTTGAACAAGGCTAACAAAAACTTGCCCCAAAAAACCACACCACTGAAAGCTGGTGCCCCCATAAGATGCTGGTGTCCCCTTTGTGCCCCCCTGACTAGTAAAATCCTAGGAGAAGAGAATGATGGCAAACTTTTAACATGTACAAACACAGAGAGGAAAGGTCACTGAGAAAATCTCAGACTGCATAGTCTGAGACCATGTCTTACCAAGCAAGGCAGCGATTCTCTCCTGAGCAAAGTCGTATTTCTCCTGTGCTCTTTCTCTTTCAAGGTCTAGCCTCCTCACTGAGGGATCCGACTCAAGCTGAAAGAGAAGTACATTCATATTCACCATAGAAAATCAAGAAATTTCAATTTTTTTCTGTTAATTTCAAAACATCGCTTTTCAAACCTTAAATATAATGGGAGATGGGATTTTTGAATCCTGAAAAGTTTAGTTGTCAGTTCCTGAGTTCTGTTATACTGTTGTTTAGGCATTTTTCAGGAGAGGGATTTGAGTTGGTTTCCTCTTTTATGACATAAAGACTTTAATTCTCTCTAATAGAGACTTTTATTTCTTTTATAGAGTACCGAAGTGACTATGTCATGAGCACAATTATGTACATAAAAGATTTTTGCGCGAGAACCAGCGCATGGACCAACACGCACGCATACTCCATTCATCTGCACCGTACTTCCTGGTTTAATATGACTTCACACTTCAGGACTCTATAAGAGAGGGTATTTAGACGTAAATTCTTTCCACACTCATGTAATTCAAAATATTTTGAATTACAGATTCAAAGAATTGATGCGAAAATAATTTCTTCCAAATTTTTGGCTACCATTTGCCAGTGGCGGTTGGTGAGCCTACTCAGAACCCAGTCATCATTCTCTGGATGGACTTCCTCTCTGCTGCCCTCGTCTGGATTCAGATAGCCCAGCTCCTCCACCACTGAGATAAACTGCACTTCACCTGGAGAGGAACAGCATGATTCAACATAAGACGAAATGTTCCAATATTCCATAACCCAACCTTCCAGTGTGACTACTTTTCAACTCCAGTGTTGTAGTCACGACCATCAGAAGACCAGGCAAAAGACCAGTCACATGACCAGTTTAAGTGACAATTTAAAAGTAACAATGATAAAGGAGTATTTTAGTTGCAGTTTATTTTAAATATAGCTTGTGACTGGGGCCAATTTCATAAAACTGTTTACGCTTGAGCGACTTTTTGTGCTTACGGTAGCATGAAAATTCGCTTAAGTGTAAGCGCATTTCACCATCGACTTTTGACAGCTGTTATGCTTAGCAGGAGAAATACGTGCGCACGCAACACAAAACGTAAAGTCGTCTGCTAAATAAAGGACACTTTTCCACTTGTCATCTGCATTTGTTCGCTTCTGAAAGTAGTCATGCTGGTCTTCAGATTGAAGGTCTGGGTTGTCTTAAGACCAATTCATACTTGAGGCGAATATGAAAGCGAAATTAATTGGACATCACGAAACACTTGCGGCAAAACCTTACTTAAGTTGAAACTTTTTCAAATTTGTAGCACCAGTATATGATCCAACGTCGCAAATTTGCACTTGTGTTCTCTTCTGCACCTGATATGAATTGGCCTTTAATCTGGCCCGAGTTGGGGTTCAATCTTAATGGCAAGGAAGACAGCGGCTGGTGGGAAGTTCATCAACTGGGTTTATGCATGCACCAAGAGAACAAACAAAAAGCCCGTACAGCGTAACAGAACTTTGTCATGCATGCTCGATCTGCAGTGCTGTAGTCGAGTCCATCACAAGTCCCCGCAAGTCCCTGTAATAAGTCCATCACAAATCCAGCACAGGTCATGCAGCCTTGTGCCAAGTTACAGTGAATTCAAACTAACTGTGAAAAAAGCATTCCTTTGTCCTTGTTCACCCTGTTACTTGTCACTAGGCTTTGTGGAAGGACCTGTGGAAGGACCTGTGGAAGGACCTGTGGAAGGACCTGTGGAAGGACCTGTGGAAGGACCTGTGGAAGGACCTGTGGAAGGACCTGTGGAAGGACCTGTGGAAGGACCTGTGGAAGGACCTGTGGAAGGACCTGTGGAAGGACCTGTGGAAGGACCTGTGGAAGGACCTGTGGAAGGGACCTCTGAAGGACTCTAACTACAGCACTAGTGCTCAATGTGTCCTGTAAACAAACACACACAACCCCGTGTGCGCAAGCAGTTCCAACCAATGGGCCATCACTGCTATGTCAAACGATGCCCTCTCTTGTTTCCTGCTCAGAGACAATTGTAAAAGCCTTGTGCAATCTTATGAAGGTCTTATTTTGTCTCAACATTGGCTAACTCTATCAACTTAACATTCTTCTTTAGAAAAATCTTAGGATATTGAAAGAATTGATATTTTATGTCTTTGTAAGGTTTGTTCTCTGCACAAAAATTCACGGACTAATATTTCCTTTACCTTTCTGTTTCTTGCCTTTGGGGCTTTTCTTCTCTACGACGTTGGGATCAAAACCTGGCCTCAAGACTTCAGGGAACTCCTTGCGAGTAAAATTGGCCACAATCCGGCGTTTCTCGTTTGAAAGCTCTAAAACCCTCAGCTGCAGGGTGTTCAACTTTTTGTAGAGGTTTTCTAGCTGGAATGAGAGCTTGTCAATGTAGTCCTCTGTAGCAAACTGGAGGGGAGGGCAGGCAAACAGAGTAATTTGACCCAAAATATCCTTCGAATAATTAGTCTCAATCCATATCCACTACAGGACTGAGGTACGTTGATTTTAAACCCTGTATGGTAAACAAGCTCGGGGTGCTATTAACAAATAGTTCATCCAGCTAATCCCAGTTTATTAGAGGCACTCAATCAAATTATGAAGGTTGTATATTGCAAGTCTTCCCAACAAGGATACACCTACAAACATGAAGCTGAGATGCCTTCGCTGGGAAGTTTTAGTTTGATATTTTCAAAACCACAAGGCCTGGTCTGTACACTAAAAAATGCATATTGCGGAATGTTGTGAAGAGAATATCAATCACGAGGTATGATTTATGTACGTTCATTTGTCCCTTACCATAGTTGTTCCAAAGAAACCTGTTGGTTTTTGGTTTTCATTCCCTCTGCTTTCAACCTCATCCCCACTACTACCCTCCTTCAAAGAGGTTGTGAGGTTTATTGGGCTGACATAGTCTTCCTCATTGATCGTCTTTGATGTGCCAAACACACTCTGGAAATCATCTCCACTGCTGACTGGATCGTCGTTGACTACGCTGGCGTATCCTGATGTTTCTGTGGTGACTGAGGCATTGTCATGGTCCAATTTAACACCCTCGCGCGAGTTCAGTATTGTGGGATTGTTGTTGTGGGCAGTGAGCCTGGCCACAGTGGGGACACTAGGGGGCACTGTCTCCTCCACCTGGATGCCCTTTTGACGGAGAGCTCGAGTGAAGATGTGCTGGTAGTGTGGAATGCGCTGTTTGCTGTAAATCACATGAAGGGAAAGGAATAATTCTGAATTTAAAAGCAACATTCACTTTGATATCTCCAATCTTAAAACATGGCTAGAAATTACAATTTGGAGAAAACCTTGCCAAAGGTCATGGCAGAAAAAGTCCATGAAAATCTAAAAGTGGGAAATGGGCTCAAGATCAGATATTACGTGTTCCCTTTCCCAAGACTCAAACATGTCTTTAGTTGTGTATTTGGCACAAGAAACCATTTTTTGGCCTTCACTGTTCCAACCAAATAGAAAGGCTACCACCTCTGGCTTTGTTTCACATGGTTTGATATTTCTGTGCTAAACATTTGCCTAGGAATCAATGCTGGCATGCCAAGCTAAAGTCAGAGACATGGCTGAGGTTTTAAAAATGTAATTAGAACTTTAAAATTTCAGTCAGGGAAATGTCAAGGTGTCAACAGAAAGATTTTCTTTTGGACTGTGTTTGACTTCCAACAGTCAAACTCACTGGACGATGCAGTATTTTGCCAGGTAGTCCAGGGCATCGACAAGGACTGGTTCTGGACTGCCTCCATCTGAGGGGGTGGCTTCTATCTTACGCCATCTCCTCTTCTTGGGCCTGTGCACGTGTAGAGAAAACTTCTCAATACAAAAATATGTCGGGAAATGTAGCACTCGGAAGAGCACTTTTAACTGGGCGGTTCTAAACTGACAAAAAAGTAGCCAATAGCTGTTTAAATCATTTGGCATTAAGAAATAGCCCCTGACTCAGAACAAGAAACATCTTCTGTGTTCTTTCCATTTTTTAATCAGAACAACTTTGAGTGTGTGATATTTGAAACTTAGGAAATTAGACATATTATAATCATGTTGGATCATTAGACAAGTTTTAAAACCATCTTTCAAAGGAGTTAGGAAGTATGTCTTACTTGTACTGGACCCGTCTTCGTTTCATAACGATAGGTTCCAGGATCTCTGGAGGGGTTAGGGGTGGGGGTTCTGGTAATGGCGTGGGTTCCTTGGGGGATTCTGGGGTTGGTATGGTGGGAGAGGGTGGGACCTCTATAATGAGCTCCATGGGCTCACTAGGTTCAGGGGTCGCAGGGAATGGAGGCGGCTCTTCGTGCTCAAGTTTCTTCTGGACAGGCATGACGAAAGGCTTCGGTTTCTGGGGAAAAACATTACAAAATATTAAAGGATTTTTATCAATTTGATACAAAATTGGTTCACTAAATGCAGAGGTTAAAAATCCTGGGGCTCACTCAACTTCTTGGAATCCAGAGCCAATTCATAGCACTGGTAAGCACAACAATATTCCCAGCAAAAATACTTACTGAGCAAACTAACAGTTACCAACCACACCATCACTCGATCTGTGTGGTTTGTGACTGGTTTATTTCTGTTGAGCATGAAATTTGCTGAGCAGTTCCTGCTTAGTGGCTCTGTTCCTTGGTCTAGTAATATTGGTCTATAAATGTTTCAGATTCTTGGATAGTTTCGACCAATTCCGGGCAGCAGCTTATTCGGCCACCTATCCATCTATCTTGAGGACAGGTAAAAACATATTTAGACTGGCAGTTTGGGCTTGTTTAAAATCTGCAAGGGCCCAGTTTTTTGATAATTTTTCCAACACTGATGAACAAGTCTTCACATCTCCTTCCAAAAGATGGGAAATATGGCCTCAGATAGCACGGGTGTCAGTTTCAGAAATGCCTGGGAGAGGAGACAGGCAGTCTGATAGGCTGTAGAATTCTTAGGAATGTCATTCACCAGGAAATGGTCTGGTATCTATGTGCTGGGCTTAATCCCTCTCTAGAAAGGTAGTACAGCAGAAGTTTAACACAATGCAATGGTAGAGGAACGGAAGAGAAATTCAATACTTTCCGCTTGTCAGGGATCTTCTTGGCTTTAACAGCCATTGGTTTCTTGACAGGGGCTGGTTTGGGAAGCTTGGCATTCCTCGTCTTCTTGGAGGGCTTGACAATCGGCGTGGGCTTCTCTGGCTCTGTAGAGAAAGAAAAGGTTGGGATGATGCTTTGCTAGACGGTTTAATTAAAGCAAGCTTTCAACCAGGCAGGTGTCTGGGTGCTGTTTGAACACCTTGTGGGCCATTTGGAACACCAAACATTGTCTTACAAAGAGTATGTAAGTAACTTGGGCACCCTGCTTTTCACTTCTGAGCCAAATCCAGACTACCATTTTTTTCGGTTGTTAGGTTAAAATCCTGACCAGGACAACTTCACACTTTGATTTCCATGTGATTATTCATTTTACAAAATACTGCAAATCATTAAAATCTAGACGAAATTATGGTCAAGCTTCCAACACACAAACGGACAATGGAAGGTTATTTTGGAATATGTGACTTCTTTTGAAAAAAAATTACAAAGACGTTGTCCAGTAGATAGAATAGGATACACATGTGTCAACAGGTGCTGAGAAAGGACTGAATTCATTCTGTTTACAAAGTCATTGTGTTTTATTGTACAGGACTGACAGAGAGTAACAAATCTTCAGTTTTTACCTTTCGGAGGTGGGGGTGGTGGTGACAGGATTGGGGTGGGCACTTTCGGAGGTTCCGGCTCAGGCTCCAGTTCCGGTTCAATCTCTGGTTCAGGTTCCAGTACTTCAGGTTCCGGACTTGGTTCTTTTGGCAGGTTTGGTTCTGGAGCTGAAAAAAGTTTTTGGTGAATAAATAAGTAGTTAGTAAATCAACAGGAGCAAACTGCCAAGTTTCCTGATCACTGGACAAAAAATTGTGTGAGACCAAAAACGAAGGAAAGACAGACTCACCAAAAATGTGCTTGAGGTAATTTTTTAGAACTTTGCTGAGAATGGAAAGCATGATAGGTTCTTCTCATGATGTAAAAAATCTAGCCTTCTTGGTGATCCATGGAGCATTGCATTTTCCCTCAGAAAATAGAATGCTTCATAGATCACCCTGGGAAGCTGGTTTTCACTACATTACTGAAAGCAGTCAACAGTTATGTAATAACACCAAGCAACAGCAGGTGGTTGAAACAGTGCAACATAGAAAACAAGTGATACTAGACAGCTCATTTCCACACCAAGATCAATATTCTATTTTGGTGCAATATTTTAGGACAGCACACCACAGCCTGATATGGCAATTGTAAATGATAAACTATTCCATTTGGATGCCACAAACACTCAACTGCAGACTTGTAATACAGCAAATTTCTGTGAAATACAAAACCTGCTGTAAGGAAATTAGTACCACAGCTATGCAACCTACCAGGTTGTCTGAACGGCACTTGGGGAATATCCATGTAAGGCCTCTCAGACTTGAGTGGTACCTCTGATGGTTACCAACAAAGTTACAATGTGAAGCAAGTAGCAGAGAATATTACACAAAGAGAGAGTGGGCATGATTAATTAGCATTAGTTTCAAGTACTGTCATGTGAGGAAAGAAGCGTTAATGATAAACATTTCTATTGAGACATTTTCTCATTAGAAAGAGAAAAGATTTAGCGAGTGAAATAAACCGTTTGCATTAGCAAAGCTGGAGAAATCTTTCAAAGAATTAGTTGAAATATCCAGCATGGATCGAAAGTAACACATCAGTCATCTTTGAATGCAGAATTTGTCAAAAGGCTTTGTTACCACTATTGTGACTCAATCACTGGATGTGATGCAAATATTTGTCTAATGCACTGTTATGAAACTAGCAAGCAGCAGCATATAGTGTATTAACGCATTCAAGTTCCATGTATTTGCATATTCATGCATGTAGAAGAGGGAAAGTGTTCAGCATATTCCAAGGTGATGCATTACTGCTATAGAGTAGCAAGGTGAGTATGTCACATTATAATTGTGTGTGTGTAATAGGACTTAGTGCGAGAACCAGTGTATGGACCAACACGTGTCTGTACTCCATTTGTACAGCACTTCCCAGTTCTAAATGATGCTATACTTTGGTACTCTTTTGGGCTGCTTTGACTCTGAAGTTCCCTGCTTCAGTGGTTTGTAAACAATTAGCCAATCAGAAAACAATATTCTGCAATTACTGGGAGATAGATCTGATAAGCCCCGCCCACTACCCTCATCCACATGTGTGAAATAACAAAGATGTTATTATGCCAGGACAACAGTGTAATGATGACATTTCTATGTTTCGTCTCACCTGGTTCCTTCTTTTTTGCCTTCTTGACAGGTTTTGGGGGTTTCTTACGTTGTGGTCTGGGCCTTGGAGGCTTCTTACGTTTGATGATGACTACCACAGATGATGATGGAAGAAAAATCAAGAAGTCGGATGGGGATGATGATGTAAGGAGTACAAGTGATGGCATGAAGATAAGTAAAGACTGTCTAGATTAAAGCACTGAAAATGATTGTCTCAGCTGACGATGTGAAAACTTATAAGCTGACTTAAGGATCATGCATGAGTGTGGGAAAATGAAGATATTAAAATGATCTTGGAATAAAAGACCAATGTTAAGGAGGTAGCCTGCTGGTTGAGTTGCTGAATACAAATTTAATACCTTAGCAAGAATGTTTTGCAAAACTGATTTAAGTTAAATTGAAAGAATATACTTAAAAGATGGTTTTCTCCCATTCAAAGGAGGGAAAGTTGTTGTTAAGCAATTTAATTCTTACCTACATGAAAGAAGATTTCTGAATAGTTTTCAAGTAAACATGGGCTCAAAATTTGAGAAGGACAGTTGCTTTGATCTGATGAGTGTAGACTCACCTGGTTCTGGTTCAGGCTCTGGTGGGGGTGGTGTTGGATCTTTCGGTGGCAGTGGTGGGATCAGTTCCACAGGGGTGGGTTCTCTGGGTGGTGGAGGGGGGGTGGGCTCTTTGGGTGGGGGAGTGGGTTCCCTGGGTGGAGGGGTGGACTCTTTTGGTGGGGGAGGTGTTGACTCTGCAGGGGGTGGTGTAGGCGTGGGTGTCTGTGGAGGTGTGGACTCCTTTGGAGATGGAGGGGTGGGGTCTTGTGGGGGTGGGGGAGTAGGTTCAGGGGTTGAGTCTTTAGGTGGGGCTGGAGGTGGGGGAGGAGTCATATGTTTTACAAGGGGAGGTTCTTTCTTGACTTCTGTTGAGAGAGAAGCATGGAGTACTTTGGTTTCAAAAATTTGGCACATGCTTAGCAGGCTTCCAAACAACCCCATGGTGCAGATAAATGTGCTATTTGCAAACCTGTCAACCCTGAAAAAGTTACAAATCGCAACAAACATTTTTGAGCCCATAGCGAAGCATGAAGGCACACAAAAGAAGCTATTTACATGTACACATTCATATGTATGTGTAAAAACTGCCATTTAGCAAATAGCTCTCTTCTTACGAAAAGTGCCCACTTCTTTCTGCAATAGCGCCCTCTTTGATGGGACTTTTTAATTTTTTCATTTTATAGAAATTGGAACCTTTTTGGCAGTCTGAAAGCTTAAAAATCAGGACAGTTGCGATTAAATTGGAATGACTGGCAGATGTGCATTTTGTTTGTATTCTAAAGAGAGACTTAACTGAGAATGTGATTGAAGTGACAAGAAAAGAAGCAATTCTCTTTCTGTTGGTTAAAAAGTGGCAATATCAGACATGCTGTGCTGCATTTGAGCAAATAAATTACGCATATAATCAATCCCTCCGCCAGTCAAACTGAGAAAGGCCTTTCAAAAACTAGAAAAAAGAAAGATTGTGAAATATTCTCCCCTATAATTACATCAGACATAAAAACAATTTCTCACTATTCACGAGTCAAAACAAATTTGCAATATCCAGGCAAATGAATTTCAAACTTGTGATATTTGCAAAATAACAGTCCATTGACTCAAACTGTGTGATAATGAAACAAAATTCTGCTGTGCAGAAAGAAATCAGTGAAGTAGTGAAAGAGCCCATGGAAACACAGCATGCTCTTGCGTATACCGTAGTTTTCCGAACCGTGCCCAATCGTTGCTCTGTCTTCATTTACAAGTGAGAGTATTGACAATACTGAGTTGGCTCTTTGTTCTCCTTCGCTTGTATCCTCAACTATGGCAACAGAAAGCATTTGTAACAAAAACCATACTTTACTTCTGTTCCCATAATGAAAAAAATATAAGAGGAATAATGAATATGCTGGTCTTTGTACAATTCTAGTGACGACAAAAGGCTCAATTAAATAACCACTCGTCACTTTTTCTTCCACCTCTGAACACACTTAAATTTGTAATTTCAACCAAAATACCAGGCAGCACAAATCTCCATCTTAGGGCAAACTGTTTTGAAAGAATTCTCTCCCAAAAAGTAACAATATTTTTAAGGACGCCCCCCCCCACAATAAAAAAAAAATCAACAAAAGTAATTTCTCAAAAAGTACGCAAAGCATATTTGCATATATCTCAGATTCTTAAGCTACCTTTCTTTGGTATGACTGCGGGTTCTTTCGGTGGTGGCTTCTTTTTCCTGGTTTAAAAAAAGAAAAAAATATGACTTCAGAAAATAAACCTTGAACAAGTTTTGAAATGAGCACTGCTTAAAAAGTGATGCATAGGGCATTTACCGGCAGCTTCATCAACAATTCTGGAAAGCAATCTGATGTTTTAAAGTTTTGAGTTGGGCAGTAAGTTTGAGTTGGCACAGAAATTTATACAGTGCAAACTGTGCGTGGAATTTTTAAAAAATCACAAATTCAAAAACAAGATGAACAAATTCATCATTAACACGTGTTAAATACTCACTGATGAGGTAAAATGTGCGTGGAAGCTGTGTTTCATGCAAGTGTGATAAATAATAATGATGTAAAAGGGTAAAATTAGACACACAAAGTGCAGGGACATTCTATCATGTATTGTGGTCAAATAAACTGTCACATGCAAACCAAGTGTCCACTTTCATTGCAACGAATACTGTACATTGTAAATGATCAGAAAATGTCTGGCTGTACTTTCAACCTCTGTGATGTGAGATTTTGCAAGTGATGATATAAGTAGTGCTAATTAACACATCATCAAATGTTGTGCAGCTAGTAGGCAGTTACAATTTGCAGATGGGTAGATATGGTGTGGTGAACCTGTGCATCTGCACAAGGCAGATTGTACAGTCAGGTAATAATTAGGTGTCTGACTTGCAATCCATCTTCCTGTTGACCAAATGCCCCTTGATCACTGACACTGAAGCTGTAAGTCTTGAGGCTTTGAGTTTGTAAAGAAAGAGAGTGTTAGCAACAGGGTCCAATGGGAGGAGATGCTCCATTTATGTTCCCTGATGATCCGCAGTGTCATGGGACGCTGACGAACAAGTTTAATCTGAATGTGTGTACATGTGCAAACTTTCTTAGCATGGTTGTTTGGCAAATGGCAAGGATGGCATGTAGGTATCTGCCAAGGCTCTCTTTCTGCCGCTGCTGACAGCGTGAATTTGACACTTATGTCCACTCAATATTGCATATGAGAGCCAAGACGATGTTAGTAAACAACACACAGAAGTGTATATCTCTTTCATTCCAGGACATATATGATAATTGGCGAGACTTGCAAGCAAGAATGAATTTGAAAGGACAAGGTGCAGATGGTCGGTTGCTGTGGTCACTCGGCACACATGCACCAGTGCTCCAAGCATGGAAGATAATGACATGCTGCAGATTGCAGGCTACCAACTTACACCACCACTTTTTCTGGCTGTTTCTTTTCTTCCTTTTGTACGACCTTCGGTTTGCGATCCACCTTTTCGGTTTTTGCAATCTTTTTAACTGGCGGGGGTGGGGGCATTTCTTCCTTCTGGACCGGTTTGGGTTTTTCCTTCAGGACTGGTTTGGTTCTCTCGATAACTTTCGGAGGGTCTTGTACTGGTTTGGGGGGTGGCGTTACCGCTCGAGCGACAGGTTTTCTTGTGTTTGGAGAAAGTCATTACAGTTAAAAGTTACCATAAGCAATACTGTGATACAAAGATATCTTAACTGCATGCTCAAGAACAAAGTCAGAGATATCATAACCCCAGTTAAATTTACAAGCAAGACAGGTTGATGCTAAATATCAAGGCAAGTCTTTGTGTTGCGAATCTGTAAACAATCTCAACTCTGGAGAAGTTTACAAATGTTCTGTAACATCAAATTTGCTTTGCATTTGCACCCACATTAAGAAAAATCTCCGCAAATATGTAACTGGTCAATACCGTCATTTGATGTGATTTCCTGGACTTAGAAAAAAACATAAACCTTTCATGGGAAATTACTCTTCAACATGTCCTACGATGCATCTAAATTTCTTTCGCAGACAACTTACTCTAAACATCATAGTAAAAACTTACTTTTTCGGAGGCGGAGTCTTAGCCCGCACTGGCATAGGAGGTGGGGCTGGGGTTGGTAACAGCTCCTTCTCGACTTTTTTGATGGGCGGCTTTACAAACTTTGCCTTCTCCAGTTGCTTCTTAGGCGGTGCCTCAGCCGGTTCCCTGAGCGATGGGATGGGTTCAGCCACCTCCCTCTTCTTAGGCTGGATGGGAATGGTCGGTTTCTTAGCAACAGGAGGTGGGGGAGGTGGAGGCGGTGTCTCCGGGCGAAGCCGCTCCTTTCTCTCGGGCGGTTTCCGTACAGCCGAGGCAGCCTTCGGGGCGGGCTTTTTCAGTTCAAACCGCTCTGGCTCCTTCCAGATCTTCTCCTCCCGTCTGGTCTCCACTGTCTTGGTTGGGGGCTTGGTGGACTTCTGGACCTTGAAGCCTTCATTCTTGGGGACATCCAGCATCCGTTCTTTGCTGAAGGGGTCCTGGGTTTCCGTTACCTTCACTTCCGACTTCTTTGGTTGAAAGGCTTTTGGAGCTGAATAAAGTCAACAAACTTCGGGAGTGAAATCATAATTTCCAAATATCTAGTGACAAAACCTTACCCTGAAGTATGATAGGGTTAGAACAATCACCTTTTCAAAAAACAGCACAGTGAGAAATATGTTTCTTTACTTTTAGCTGACGCCTGAAATTTGCTGAGCAAAAGTGTGTAGCCAACAAGCAAGGTTTAGTGTTGACATTAGCAGGTCCATGAAACTGAGAATGGCAACATCAGAACAAAGTGATGAACGTAGCAAATTCTGAATTCGATCGTCATGACATTTTTGTATCTGTCACCTGTGGACTCACCTTTGTAAAGATGTTTCCGTCTCTCTCTCTCGTACTCTTCCCGTCTCAACCTCTCCTCTTCCAGACGTCGCTTCTCCCTAGCTCTAGCCTCCATCCGCAGCCGGGCCTCTTCCTCAATGCGAGCTTCTTCCTCTAGCCTTGTTGCTGAAAGACAAAAATGTGGATAAACAAGTTTGGAGGTTGCTTTTCTACACATTTTAGAACAGCTTCCAACACTGTGGCATCTAAGGCAATCCTGCAATTCTGCATTCTCAAACATTTACGAGCAAGTGAAAAACTACATGCAAATGTTTTTAACAAATGCATGCATAAAAACTTGTGAACTATCAATTTGGTAGAATAGACTGATAGCATGTTTATTCAGCACTACAATATTTAATTCCCCCAATAACGTTTTGATCATGTTCACGACGAACATTAATCTGAAAACCAAGCTTGTGTCAAATAACTTAAACCATGCACACTAATTGTACACAAATCCAGGAGTTGTTAAGTGAATCTTGTTCCCTACCAGTGCTTACAAGGCACATCATTCTTTATGTCTCATTCTTTGCTCTGCTCTATGGGTTCTCCAAATCTTCTTGGATTGTTCCTTTGTGCAAAAACCATTTTCCAATAAGGATTACCACCAAGTCTTATTCTGTGAGAAAATCACAGTAAGTAATCCCTTTGGATTTAGGTCACTTTATCTTTTGAGATGATTTCAAGCAGCCTTGGTTGCTTACCAACAAGGTTGAAAGTATGAATATTCATGAGGCTATGACAAATACACTTGTATAATTGTGGCTGCAGCCCAACAAAACCAAACATTTCCATTCCCAAATATGCTCAATGTGATAAGTGCAGTGAAAACGCATATTCATGAATGGGAGTCAGTGATTATTTTAAATGCAGCAGACAACAGAGGGCACTGTGCCAAATCTGTGAAAGAGTTTTGGAAGTGAACAAGTTACTGTTCTTCCAGTATTTGTATCTGAGGATACACAAACAGTGACTTTCTCTTTGTTTGCCCTCATTGCTAGGTTATAAAGCGCCCTCTGTAGTTTGTGCATAGATCCTTTAACCTCACCTTCTGACATGACAGAGGTACCGATACCAGATGAGGAGCAGTCAGAAAAATCCTTGGGGTTGTAATCCGGCAAGAGCTGGCGCAAGACTGTAGGGAAAACGGATCATGTGAAATCAGTCGTAAGGCCATTTTTATTTGTTTATCTGTTTTAAATGTAAAGGCAACTGTTTGTCATTTTGCATTTTGTCCCTGTGAGACAACAAACTTACTCAGAATCTCACAGGTGCCTAAAAACCTAAGGAAGTTTCAGCTCAGTGAATAATGCATATTCCAAGAAAAACAATATTCTAGGATAATTTTCCCTAAATGCAAAAACACATCTTCAGATGTACCATTGGAAATGGCCTTCTTTCATTGTTTTTCTTTTACAGCTTGCCAGAGAGAATTATTTCACAGGTAGTTTAGTCTCATAACCATCTTTAACCCATGCATGCTTTTCAACAATAATTTCATCCATTACTCTTTTGAATAATTATAAATAATGGACTGCACCTTTAATACGTGATGGGAAGAGTAAAGTGAGCTCTCCGTTTGGATGTATTCCTTGACATAATAATGGAAACTGGTGAAGGTCTCTATTTTGATTTCTTGCAAGATTCCTTTAAAGGCCTTGCACTCAACAACGACACATTGGTTGAGTCACAGGATTCATTTTAGTTATAGCTGTATCAAGTAGGATCAGGGCCTGCTCTTTTGTTGTTAAATGAAGATTTCCTCCTGTAAATTGTGTTGGGGGCTTACCTTGTAAACAGGCATAACAGTGATCTGTGATTTAAACAATGAAAAACAATTTATAATTAAACTAAGACCAAATATGTTTACAAATGAAATAAAAAGAAATTTAATATATCTGTCAACAAATAATTGATAGAAACATCGGTCACCCAGGTAAGAAACAGGCGAAGAGCTTTAGATTCAAAAGGATCCTTTTCCTGAAATCTTCAAATGATGAGTTCTACATGTTAATAACACAAAAATGCATCAGTCAATGAATTGTACTAGCACGTATGTAACAATAACTGAAGGAATACCACGGGTACCTTGGTAATGCTTGACTTTGTGGTTCCTGTCGCCATGGTGATGCACCATATCCAGGATCCATTGAGGAACTTTTGTGGGTTTCTGCCGAGGCACCGTCATCTCATGGACTGGCCCCTCTGGTTCAGGAAGTTTCTCCACTGACATGCGCAGGTCATCGTCCAAAGTCAAGTTTTCAGCTTTCAGATAAAAAAATTCTTTAATTTCTATTTAGCTCTGAACACTTCTATAATTTCTGCCATAAAAATCAAATTATTCATTTGTTCATCTCAATTGCTGAATCACTTTTGGATTCCAAGTTGGGATTTTCAATTCAAAGGTTATTTGAAATGAATATGCATGCCACAATTTGCCGAGTGCTGACTGGCCAGATTCTTTACAAGAAGATGACGAATTGTCTGCATACTTTCAATTACGCTGCTTTCATCGTATGAAAATTTGGTTTGGGGGCATGCATGATAACCAGTCTTTCAATGTTGCCACTGTGATTGGTCAATATGTATGTGCTCATTTGAGTAACTTAATATTCAAGAGATGAAAGTCAAAACAAACTTACATGAATACAATAGAGATGAATCAGGTAGCCTCGTCTCCTTGGTAACTACATCCTCCTTTGGAACCAAGACATATTTTGGAGGTTCTTTGCTGAAGAATGTAAAGCCACCACCTACCCTCCTTGGTTTACTGTGGTGATAGCTGAAAGAAAAAAAATCAGTTACAGGTTTTTTTTCACAACAGGGAGGGAAATAGTTTAGAAATTTCAAGTTACCGTTGAGTTTTAAACCAATAGAAAATATGACTCCTGAGGAAAATGTCCCCATGGCAGATTTACATTAGAAGTTCAAAATAACAATTAAAAAAATGGATCCACTTCAAGAAGACTGGTTTCACAAAAACATCGATGGTACAATACAAAAATGAAGTGTTACATTACACTGAGAATGCAAACTCAAGTGAGACAGGTGAGATTCTAGGTTAGATTTACTTATGCTTTAAAACTTTTCTGACAATTTTCGTTAAACAGGAATTTTACCCATGCAAACTTCTGACATTTTAATACTCACTGTGGTGTACTACTCAATGCACATCCAAAGCAAATGCTTTGCATTTGCAGAGTTACTGCACTATCTTTCACTAGCTCAATTTCCACATCATCCTGACCCTGGATCCCTTGGCTTTCGATCTCTGACCCGATCCCTTCATCCTTGTCCACACTGGCCAGGCCCCTGAAGTCTACTGTGACCCCTACGTCGCCGCGACAACCGGGACAGAGAGCCGGGAGAACATAGGGCTTCTCCCGGACTTCTGTCTCTGAGTAGGCCTTAGGGTGGAGGGAGGCAGTACCAACGAAGGGCAAGTAGGTGTGGTGGTAGATATTATTGTCCTGGATAGACCTGAGTTTTTTGCTGAGGACTGTTGAGGGGAAACTTGAGGAGAGGTCGTGGAAGAGGTTCTGGTACAATCTACCAAATATGAAGGAAAAGAAAAAACTTAGGATGCTTGAGGAGGGATGTTTTCTGAAAGAAATGTCAAATTTTGACCCAATGTTACAGTGACTTTGACTTTTTTCAGATGCCAACAATTACAGGACCCCTTAATTACTCCACTCACATTAACAGAGCATGTTTGCGTTTTTTTTTATCATTATTAATTATAATCCTATGTTACCGAACCCACGAAGTGATCGCTAATGGGGGTTTTAAATAAATAACTGTCACGTATGTTTTCTCCTAACAGTAACAGTCACACTAAATTAAGTTCTGATTCAGGCACGTTTCAAACTTTGTTCCTGTCAAACTGGGAAGTTAAGGTTTTAAATTAAAAGTTCTTCAAATCAACCACGGCACCAGTTAAACAGCGCCCTCTCGGAACCGAAAATAGACCTGAGTGGAATGAGATCAGATCCCCCTATCAACACACGGCCGGATCTCATAGCAATTAGCATGATTTCGTTGCACTGCTGAAAATGAGACAATTACCTTTTATCATGAAATGTTTCTGCAAACCAGACCGATTTTAGCATTTGCTAACTGCTTTTAAAGATTTGGCAGCAGTAGCCGTAGGCGCTTTATAAGAAAGACAAGACTAAGGGAAATTACTCACGTATGCACAGGCAATGGTGGCAGAAATGCAACCTTAGATTCATCATCAACATCATCCTGGGAAAAGAAAAAAACAACATTACTCTGACTAAAAATGAATTGGCTTTGAGGGGACAAATTGTTATAATTCTGTAAGGTTTAACTGGTTGGCAATTGTAGGCCTTCATGACTTTACCACGGAAAAACAAAAATATTCATAAAATTATTCAATATACAAAAGTTCAACCACGCAACTAAAACAAGATTTCAGAGACAAAGGGGCGAACTTAAAATTAGTTCACTTTTGTACAATATAGCACATAATGTTGCCGACAATTATTTTATAATTTATCGGTCTTCGTTTACTCAACATTTGTTTATCAGGTCACCAGCGCCGCCCAATCTTTTTCTTTCTTCATAACTGGGGAATAATTACCACATTCAAGTGTCCTTAATCTCTGATCCCAGATCTCATTCACGATTTTGGGTTGCTAAAGGGGGTTACTGGTCAAGAGCAATCAATCACAGAAAAAAACACCTGCTGCAAATTAAGCCGGCTGCACGGTTCACGCGACTTCAGGAATCTGGTTCCTTTTCATCTAATCATATTCTCCAATATCGTAATTTTAATTAAACTGAAACACGATTATTGTGCTCTAATTTAAATGAGGAAAATAAACACTATAGTGGGCTGTTATTTTCTCTCAGCGAATTTTATCCTCGTGAGTTCGAAAATTAAACTAACTGCGGCCTACAAATTTTTGTCTTCAACTGTACAGATTCGTGACGCTAATTTCCAAACCCTGGAATACTGGCGATACAATAAATCATTAACTGCAGAAAAGTATCAGTAGGTTAAAATTTTTTTGTATCTGTGCTAAAATTTAAAAGAACAAAACGTCCCTTCGGCTTTGCATTTTG